GCGCAGTTCTACGAGAAGGACCTCGGCCCACTCCAAAACGAAAACCGTTAAAAGCAACCAGCACTGCTTCGTTCGCAAGTGGTGGCGTGCGGGGAGGTTCTGGGTCGCACCAAGAAAGAGACGGCACCGACAACAAGCACCACGACGATAACACCCGGGTTTTGCCGACATAACCGGGTACGTTGGAAGGGCAGCAATGGATATGTGCGAGTGCGGACATATGTGGACGGTGGACACAAGGAGGTGTTCCAGAACAAAAGAGCGCAGAAGCGCCGACCTGTACCACAGCGGCGTCTTCCTCTTCTTCACCCTCGGCATTCCCTACGAGCTCTACGACAACAATGTCTCGGGAAGAAGTTCAGCGAAGCTGTGGCCAGGAAGATGCAGCAGGACAGCGGCGGTGAAATTCCCGCCGACCGGCTCCTGCAGGCTCTGCGGCTGACCATTGAGCAAGTTACTGTGTGGCAGCAACATCGACCTCCACAGCAAGCCCACTACAGCCCGACAGACGACGAAGGACTACGGAGCCGAGGCGAAACAATCACCGAAGCCGGGAAGTACAAAGGGCAATCCTACCTCACGGCTTACAACGACAAGAACTACCGAGACTGGTGTTGTGAGTACATCCACGACCAGAGCCACCCGGCTATGAAGCGGATGGTGCCGTTCTTAAAAGAGTACGCTGCCCATCTTGGACAGCCACGAGTCTACATGGCGACCACAACCCCCGACGACCACCAGTCGGAGGAGAGCGACCTTGTGGCCGTCATTGACACCGGCTGCAGCCAGACCTGCCACGGGGACCGATGGTTGCGCAGATATGTTGCGGCGATCGGCGAGGGGCTGCCTGCTATGGAGACAGAGAATCGCCCGACACGCGAAGCTACTTGCATGAGTTCTGGAGACCTGGAGGCAGTGAGAACATGAGTGGAAAGGATCCGAGCATTTCCGGTCAACTACGTCAAACTGCAAGAACGGTTCCAGGAACTTGACACAAGCAGCGAGCAACTTGCACTCCATGGAAGGAGTTGGAAGGAGATCAAACGCAGTTGCGTCCGGGTCTTCGAGGGGTCGGGGATGGCGCATGCGTATATGCAAGCATTCTTGCGGAATATTCTGAGTGACGACCCTCATCCCGGTAACTGAATACATTGATGACTGTATCTGTCGCATGGGGGCACGGTCCAGGGTGGAATTCAAGAATGAATAAACAAACTATGACAGCGCAGATCCCCAAGCAGTGACAGAGCACCACAACGACCTTAACGACCAAGGCGACAAGAACCACCACCAGGACCATCAGTACGACCAGGACGACCGCGACCACCAGGACCAAGAGACAGGAGACCGCCCAGAGACCCCCGGCCACAGCACGGTCAAACGTGCTTCCTTAGCACAATCAGGACCATGGATAAATTCTTCTCCTCATGTACTGGCGGACTTGCGGGATTCAGAGACACGTCACCACAGCGGCAGTTGGCGGAACCTTCCGTGCTTCCACCCATGTACTGGCGGGGTTCGCTCAAGTTGGCGGAACCCTCCGCATGCACCTCGTGCTCGCCCCCATGTACTGCCAGGAGACACCTCACCCCAGCGGTAATTGGCGGGACCTTCGTCCGCGAACACTAGCCAATCTTATTTGCTGCAAACGCAAGAACTCCATGCGTGTGCAATGCTGTTTGGCGAAGGAACTTTTCAATATGTGACAGCTCGATCAAGGTGGGTGGGTGCCTGATGTAAACTTCTGCGGAAGGCGCGACCTGCTAATGACACATACTGTCGACACAGCTCGCGCAAGGACTGACCAACTGGTCGCTAGAAGACTGGAGCCGACTCGGAAAATCCAAATTGTCTCGACAGTATCTCACAGCATGTAGTGCTACGCAACATGGCAGCAGAAAAAGCAAATCAAGTAAGTGCTAAAATCAGAACACTGAGCCTGTGTCATTCTGCTTTTTCTGCACTTCCGCATTCGTCTCTTGTCTCTGTGCAGGCAAACTCATGTCAGTTGCATTCGTCACTACACTGCCACACGAAGGGACGGTTCCACGTCCGACTCTGCGCAGCTTATGGCGTTGGTACACCTCGGGCCTAGGAAATCAGCGGCTCCAGTACTGTGTGGTTTCGCAGCATAATGCAGGGACCTTAGCGATTAGAAGAGGGTGTTAGGCGTATCTTCTTGATATCATGCCGACTGGCCATTCAACACACCACTCGTGGACTGAGCCGCCTTGTCTGCCAAGCAGCACATCACAAAGGGCTCGTGTACCGGCTCTTGAAAGACTAGAGTCTTATTGTCTGCCGTCGTGTGGCATAGACATATCTCTCGATAGCCCTAACTCCCTGTCAGCCTTAGAGGCTCGCATGTCTTCTGCCTACTCTCGGGCCTTGGCAGCCCTCAGAGGCACACGAATGGCACTATGGACAGAGGGCTGCTTCGCATTTTCTCCATTCACGACCACTACCCCCACAAAGGCCGCAAGAGGGCTCAGACTTCGGAAGGTCAGCTCTCGGCCTTCTTGTCTGCGAAAATCTCAGTGCGACAAGGCAGATTCGAAAAGATAGGCATTACTGCTAATCAGGATCCAACCCATCCTCTCAGACTCATACTCATACCCTGTATCCAAGTAGCATATGGAATAGGATAAGAGTCCGACATCCTTTTGAAGACGTAGGTGTTGCCGGTTTCATCTTCCTGGACCAGCGTCTCGTCGCTGGCGTAATGCATCGTCACCTCCACAGGGCCGCCATCCTTGAGCTTGAGCGGCTTCATGTACCTGTCCTGGGTTTAGGGCCGTTTAGAGTCAAGGGCCTTCAGGGCTTTAAGGATGCTAAAAAGGGTCTAGGAACGTCCGGTTTAGGGTTTCGGGCTATGTCCATATGGGGATTCCGACTGTTACATTGGGTCCGCAACCGTCCCCACGATGGAAACTAACAAAACAGATCTTAGTCAGGCCTCGACTCCCAAGGGCCGGAGAGGTAAACTTACAAACCCCGTAAGCCGCATAAATCCCAAAGAAGGCCCTATAAATCTTAAACCCAACTGCACGAAGCTGCACTGCTGCCCCCCTTCTAGACTCCTTTCTCATATACCAGCTTTACCGACACCTCTCAAAAGCACCCAAAGCCGCAAGCTATGGAAATCGGCCCAAGGGGCCAACCCCGTGGAGCGAATCGCTTCCCGGCTCTCTGCGGAGCCGTGCCGGGAGGGCACGATCTGGACCTTTGGGGGTTGCTATAAGGGTGTGGCTATTTATCAGGGCTACTGTTAAGGGCTGGCTACTAGCCACTGCAAGGGCCTTTATGTACAAAGGTTTTCGGAGTTCTAGGCCTACGGGGTTTTAGGGTTGAAAGGGCTTGAGGGCTTGGGGTGCTTCCTAGGAGATCATCGCTTTCTGGCATCGCGGTGCTACGCGTGTTGTGTAGGGCTTCCTCAGAATTTCCTCCAGAATTCTGCTGGATTTTGGGGTGTTTGTTACTGTTGCGCCTCTTGGAAGTCCACGGTGCCCTTGTTGCCAGATTTGGCCGCCTTGAAAGGGCCGGACATCAGGAGCGCGGCGTTAGTTCTCTGGATGCCGTCCATGGTGAAGGCCTGCAACCAGTAGTACTTGCCATCCTGGATGAGGTTGTACTGCCTGTAGAACTCTACCATTGTGTTGGGCAGCTGATCACAGACCAGCTTGAGCAGGGTCTTCTTGGTTGGGCCAAGACTGGCGCTGTCCCAAGTGACCTGCCAATCGCCCTCAGCCTGTTTCATGGCGTTCTTGGAGCTTGGTAGGCCCTCGATCGCCTTGAGAACCCGATCCTTGATTCCGCCTCTCACGGCAGAGAGAAGGCTCTCTTCTTCTGCACCCGCCTTCATGTTGACCTGAGCCGATCGGGAACACCACTGGCTCTTCACAAATCCGCCCTCTTGCCTACAGCCGACACAGAAGGACTGTTGGCTGGGGTGCGCGCATGCACCGTCCTGGGACCAGGCCGGTGCCCCGCGAAGACCTGGACAGAGCAGAGCAAGCTACACATTGACGTAGTACCACAGCTACAGCCCGGCACCTGCTGGCCCTGAGCTGGAAAATCTCCTTGAAAGTCGCTGTGGGCCGAGTTGAAAAGGCCACCTAGGAAACCTGACAGAGACACACCGGTGCAAGGCTCGTCTGGCAACCGCCCTGCGAAAGCCCTTCTGCCAGCCTCTGGACGCATGGAAGCCCGCAACCATGGCCGCGAGGGCGATCGCGGCGCGCCGCGGCGCCATGCGAGCCATGGGTGCTTGGAGGCGGCCTCGTGGGTGGACGGGGAGGAAAAAAGGCTCGTCAAACCCTCGAGTCTGGAGGCCGTGACATGAATGCTGCAGATCTGGGCACGGGCATGCATCGAGCGTTAACGATTGATGGCATCAGGTCAAAACCTCTGAATCTAACGCGACCCATGGTTTAGGGCAAATGAAATTTACGGCTTGTACTTGTACCAGGCCGTCACCAGGCATCGGGTTTCGGCTTATTTCGACCAAATTACGGCCCAGCTTGGAGAGCTTTGAATTCAGAAGTCACTCTTTGTCCACACGGCGCTTTTGATCACTGGCCGTTTTAGCCAGCGTGCCTGTGACACCATGGCACATGAATCTTTCTCACGTGCTGCCTACGAAGTTGCAGGGCTATGGATTCAGACGCATCACGACACTCGAAATGCAAGCCGCATGTCCACTCTGAAACTGAAACAATCGGAGCCCCTTGTACTTTGTACTGCGGCACTGCAGCAATGGGATTACGCACCGAATCGAGGGGCGTTCTGACTCAGCATAAGCCCCGAGGTCCTGTGAAGTGCCACTTCCACTTTCAAGGGGGCAGACTTCCACTACGGTCTCAACTTCCACATGATTGTTTCGCAAGATCTCCATCTTAATCCTGGAGCATCACAAATGCTGGAGACACTAGGGGCTGGGTGGATCTTTCATGCCTCGCCCGGTGCCAGGATATCGAACAATATCATCTTACCACAGTGAATCAATTGCGCACATGCGACAACATGATTTGCATCTCTGACCTTACAGAGAAGCTCGAGGGGCGCACCGTAGCAGCACCTGTGCGGCATGCTGCAGAGCCCGTCGCCGCTCTGATCCCTTGGGCGGCCGTCCGTGAGGCCTCGAGACGAGACTGCGATCGACAGAGAAAAAGTTCATCTCGCGGCCCGTTGCAGTAAACGGGGGCGAAGAAGAAACAGATGCTGATGCTGATGCTGATGATGGTGGTGATGATGATGATGGTGATGACGATGATGACGATGATGATGAGGACGATGATGAGGATGAGGATGACGACGGTGATGAAGATGAAGGCATGTGGAGCGTGACTAGCAGGAGCAGAATACAGTTTCAGACCCGGTGTGATAAATCATCCACCAATATGCACCACACCACACGACCACTGCCGCCACCACCACCAGGACCAAGACCACGACCACATTGAACAACAACAACGACGATTTTGAAGGGAGTTTGAAAGGCTTTCCCAGGATTTCATGCCCTTCCAGATTCCAAATACCACAAAGACCCTTTCAACTTCCATTAAAACCATCAAGATCATCACATAAAATCCTTCCAAATCCTTGTTGAAAATTCCAGACGAACCCTTTCAAAACCCCATTCAAACCTTAAACCCCATAAAACCTTCCAGCATCCCATGACAACATTACCGGTAAATGTTAGATCCCTTGCAAAACCCATGAAAACCCATCACTTCGCAGATTCCCATAGTTGGGGTGGAAAGATAGCGTGGGCGGTTGTAAAGGGGGGTTCAAAACAACAGACGGGGCTCCAGTTTTTGTCTCTAGCAGCAGGTAGAGACAAACACCTACCTCAACCGAGTGGCAGGGTAGTGAACTCCGAAGAGTCGCTGACACTGTCCGAGGTCATTCTCCTTCCAGCAGTCGGGTCGTGGGTGGAGGGTTTACTGCATGTTGTGTGTAACGTTTGATAACTTGGCATTTTCTGAGGTATTCTGTGCCAGCTTTATGCTCTTGCGCTAAGGGACTTCGGATGGGTTGGCATTGCAGCTGCTTCCCGCACAAGTGGCCAGAACAGCAAGCGCCTAAGTGGGGCGATGCTCAGGACAAAATCATTAGGAGCATGCTGACAGCCGGACCTCAGGTCTGCCTGTCTGGCTGGGGTTTGGACTTTGGGATCCACGTCTTGGCGCGGACTGCAGCATGAAGGAATGCAAGGGTTACCATTCCGAGGGCTTCGGCGATGACCTAAAGATTGACAGCGTCTGCCACCGATACGAAGCTGCTACCACCGATTACTGCCGTCCGTTCCACTACGGTTGCTCGTGATCACCGACCCTCCCCCACCCTCCCAGCTCTGAAGGCTAAACCTGCCCAAAAACCCACTCCCGCCACCCCCGTCAAAATCGAGGAGAACCCCAGACAAGTCCTCGAGGCTGAAGCCCTCAGTGGCTCCTGGCCCAGAGGATTCCGGGAAGACTTGGACATGTCAAAACAAGGCTCTGCTTATGCATCATGATGTTACGTCTTGCACGTGTGAGGCTTTTTGATATGGTATGACTCATCGTCTGTCAAGATCACCGGCGCTGGCCCTATGTATGCATGCATATGCGCGTGTACCTGAATCGGAGAAACCTGCGATCTCCACGAAGAAACGGCTAGTTCCAAGAGCCGTCTCCATGACCAGGTGTACGAAACTACTTCCCTTTTTGCCTGCTTTGCATTCTCGTGTAGAATGATGTTGGAGCGATAGAACATGTTGCAAGCACAAAGATTTCCATTTGTCCTGCTTGTCCTGCAGCCTGGCTTCGTGCAAACTTTTGTTTAGGGATCTGGTTTTAAGTTTCGGATGTGATGTAGTCATTGACATGCCTTGCATTATTCGCTACCGCGCTGTCTCATGTGCTGGTCGCGGCACAGCTTGGTATTCCCAAGCATAGTAGCGAAATGGATCGACAAGGCTTGACTACTTCGCAGCCGTGCGCTGCTGGTGCATCGTATTCCGGCTTCTACAGCAGAATGCCAAAAGCTTGGCAGCTTCAGTGATTCAGCCTGCTCGCGGAATGCTCGCAGGCAAATGCGCGCGACCATATTCATATGACTAGATGAATTCAGATCCAATCCATCAACACTCTTTCGAACCATTCGAAGGGTGAAGAGAAGCAGGAAAAAACATGAGTCGGCCAACTCTCATGCCGAGTTCAAGCACACCCAGAACGATAAGGCTGCTTCCTTGTCGTCCTGCGTCATGGGCTTGCGTGGGCCCTCCGCGAGAGAGCCTGGTGCAAGGCAGAAGAACACGGTCTGCAAGCATTCACCCTCAACCGCAACTCGCAACATGCCTGGTTTGCTCCAGTATATTATTATGGTATATTATGGTATACTATAGCATATTATGGTACACTATTATGGTGTAGATTATGGTATA